GGTAAATTACGGTTTTGTTTCGCCTGTTTCATCCCGGCCGAAATGCCGATTCTTGATCGAGCCGATTGTGATACTTAATTGTGCGCGTTAATTCTCGCCGCGGGGCCTTTTTAATCCGACTGACTGATTGTAAATTACACAATCGACGAGTTTCGCGTTTTCCACGGTGGACCTGTTGGAAAATGCTGGAAAAATTTGCAACTCCGTTTAAAAAACAGTAAAACGAGAACGACAATAGTGGAAACAATATTGAGTACGCTTAAAATTACGCTTTCAGCAATATCGGAATTTAATTTTGCCTTTCGTTCGCGTTAAGCTTGATCGAGCAAAATATGCGTTTCACGTTCAATAAGCAAACTCATGTAGCACGTGTTATTAGGTCATTGCACGCGAAATTGCCGATTCGTAAATGAAAATTTAAACCTTGATAACGTAGTCGAAATTAAATTTTATTAATCGAAACGAGCTCCACATTGAGCAGATATAACATTTCTGCCAACCAATTGAAACTTTTAGCGTGTTATTGCAAAAATTTGAATATTGGCAATAAATTCCTCAAACGCATTTTTAATTGCCTCTTTATTATTGTATATTTTTTTTTTTTTTTTTTTGTTAAAAGTGATCTAAATGCTTGAATTAACGTTATTTTGTGCGCTCACTGGCTGTTCCTATCCCAAATGCTGTATTAATATTTTGCATTACCTCTGATGCACCGTGTCCTCGTTTTAATTCATAAAAGAAAATCACTCGAATTTGAATAGAATCCATTTTCTACTTTTAATATAAACCTAACCTAACTTCCTCAGCGACACAAGTGTTGCATTTAAAATAGTAGACTATTTAGGTTTCTTCGATATGACACTTTTTCTCTTTTCACTGTTTCGTTCACTTTTTTATACATCGTGAATTATATGAGAATTCATAAAAATAAGACAGAATCTGCAAATATGTGAACACCGCCATTTTGTATGCACCTAACCTAAAATTTTCATTCACCACTCACCTGTACTCATCATCAGATTTTTGTGCATTTATAGGAAGTTTAAAGGTGCAATATTGTACAGAATGCACGTAGTACGAAAAAATATACGAAATATCCAAATTATAGTGCTTTTTATAATACCTGATAGGTGAAATAATTTCCTACCGAAGTTCTACTTTTTTTACTGTATTCTGAAAAATATAAATTTGCATAAAAATCCGCAGTCTGCTCATTACAATTGCATGTACATACGTTCTTTTGTCATTTAAATTTTCCTTCCTCCAGGAACCATAGCAAATGACAATTCGACAATCACAAAATCGCCACTCCAAAAATGAACCAGAACGTTCAAATAAATTCTCGTTCGCATCACCGTTAAAACGACCATACCCGAATTATTTCATTAAAGCATAACGAATCACGTGTAAGAGCATTATTATCAAGGATTCCATAATAATTTGGCGGCCGCGTTTTCGAACCTCGTGAAAATTGCGAAGGCTGCGACACGCTAAAAGCGCGCGGACGCCACGGACCAATTAGCATCTCCGTAAATCAACGGCGAATTACTTTACGAGCTGGCCAGCGATAAAATCGCTGGACGAGTCTCATCTCGAGTCGCTTTAACGAACGGTAATAATGATTCACGAGGCGAGAGTCGCCTGGAATTCTCGCGTTTCTCCTTTCAAACTTATACCTCGTTCCATTTCGTCCCTGTCCTTTCTTCCCTTCTCCCTCGTTAATTTCCTTCGTCACCTGTCGTCGGTCGCGGCTTATTATCAGCGCAGACACTATCAGCGATGCTTCTGCATCGTTATATCGCGAATCGACCGGCTCGATAACGCGGCGATCGCGAAATTAAGTCGAGGTCACCCCTTTGACAGTCTAACGTAATTACGAATTAGAGTGAATAAAATTCATATTTCACAGGTAGGGTAATTCCGGGAGAGGCGGACCAGGCAAGTATTTCCTACATTATCCGCCATATGTGGAACACGTCGGTATTCTTTTCTTTTACCTTTGTTTCACGGAAAGCGATCGTTTTTTCTTCCATATCTGGCGGATGATGTAGGAAATACTTGTGTTTTACCTTTGTTTCACGGAAAGCGATCGTTTTTTCTTCCATATCTGGCGGATGATGAAGGAAATACTTGTCTGGTCCGTCTCTCCCGAAATTACCCTATATGTTTAATAATTACGTCGTGTGTGATTATTTTTAAAGCACATAACCCTACGTCACAGTTCTGATAATAATATCTCGTCCCTTTCTAACTTTCCTCCTGAAAGTCTCTCACGAGTTGAACTGTTCGTTATTTAACGCACTGCCCAACTCTCACTCGGAATAAATGGGTTAACAATACGGGATTATCAGTGGATAGTGATTTCTCAGCCTGATGCTGAATTATGTGAATTGCGTTCGTTGGTAATTAATAACGCGTTGCTTCTTCGTTTGAAATTTGGTCTCAGAGATATCTTGATTGAAATTCAAAGCTGTTTATTTTTTCTCATTTTTTCTTTTACAGAATAATTTATAAGAGTGTGTTTGTAAATGTAGTTTTGTACGGTTAAGTACTGGCTTTTGTATAAATTGTTCTTGTACCTGTTTTCGTTGGGTAAAGTTTGTGGCTCCAACTAATTGAATTCGAGTCTTTGTGCAGGTATAAAAATTATAAAATAATAGCCTGACTCACCGGTGGTTCACGCTATCGCATAATACAAAGCTGTTAGGAACAAGTACATGGTGAGTCACACCAGGTTCGACGCGTTACTTTAGCGCTTGAGAATAAAAGCCTTTTAATAGAGTTTCTCATTTTCGAGTAACGTGCAACGCTTGTGGGAATTAATTGTGTTAATGTTACTATATTGTGTTAATATAATACCGTTTTTGGGCGTTCATTGTGTAGATGGATGAGTTAGTAGACGTTGGGTTTAGGGAATCTCGTCATTTTAAAAAAAATTATTAAGCAGGAGAACTTTGGGACATTAACATTTCAAATAATTGAGAAGGAGAGGGGAAAGATCCGGTAGACTTTATTTTGGGGAAATTGAAGAAACTAATACAGCTGCTTATTTACTAAAATTATTGCGAAATTATCATTTGGGAATTTTTACTGTGACTTTGAAGAAAATTTTTCGTTTCGATCACTAATTTAGCTGCAAATTAGTTTTTTTTTCGATTTTTTAAGGTCCATGCAATCACCGAAAAATGGCATCCAGTGGAATCTTTTTCTTCTCACCTTTACTTTTACCAAAATTCCACACAATTTAATACCGAAACCAACTTCAATCGTGACAAACTAAAAGCTCGATTCCTCGAAACAGTCGACTATTTAATCCTGAACAAATTCAGAATGTCCTAGTACAATAGGCAACAGATTTTCGTCGAGTATTTTTTACCCATCCAGTCTGCTTCGGTGAAGAATTTTTCGAAACCCTTTACACCCGACTAATGGATTGCATTCGCGAGGATGTTCACGCAAAAGCAGAGCTACTTCTCCCGGCTAGCGAAGTCCTATCCGATTCTAAAGCTCGTTGATATATACGATCGTCAGGTAAATCCCGTGAAGATGTTCGTCAGCCCGTATGATTTCCCCTGATTTCCATCTTATTTCGCAGTCGTTCATACGCGCGTACGTGTTGGACAACTTGTACATCTGCATACTGATGCACGCATTCTTCTACTTGGCTCTGTGGTGCACCACTACGGTAAGTACTGTTGAATTTCTTTTTTTTCCTTTTGGGGAAATTTCTCGTGTAATTTGCAATTCTTTAAAGGCTCAAATTGCCTTAAAAAATAATCAGTTATACACTACCGGCCAAAAGTTTCGAATCACCTCCCAATTTTCATCAGTACTGAATTTGCTACTAATTTTTCATAGACTTGATATTGATATATATTGATTTGAATGATACAAAATTCGTTAAAAAATACTTGAAGCTGCTGACTTTTTTCTGCGAATTTTTGTGTAACTTGCAATGCACAGTGATTCTAAACTTTTGGCCGGTAGTGTATATGTATATATTGATTTGAATGATACAAAATTCGTTAACAAATTCTTGAAGCTGCTGACTTTTCTCTGCGAATTTTTGTGTAACTTGCAATGCACAGTGATTCTAAACTTTTGGCCGGTAGTGTATATATTTCGATGAAATTTTCAGGATATGTATAATTGACAAATCTACAAAACGTATTTTTTCAAACTTTTATTAAGATAAAAGAGTTGTTAAATGTGACCTTAACAATTTTCTACGCGATTTCCACAAATTGCAGTTTTTTCAAAATTTTTTAGTACGCTAATCCTAACTTCTCAAAAAAAAAGTCAAGTCGATAGGTCCAATTTTGAAAAACTAACGCTGTTCCAACATGTGTCCGAATATTAATAGGAGTCACTGTATATATGTAAGTAATTAAAATTCTAGAAGCGAAAACCTGAACACTTAAAGGTGAAATTCTAAAAGATGACACTTTCAGAATTTTAATTCGTTAAATTTTACTATTTACGGTTGTTGGATTGATATTGTAATCTTTCAGATTAAAAGATGGGGAATTAGTGGTGATTTTTTATTCGATTTTTAATCACAGGTGATTAAGAAGATGGAGAGGTCGAATAAGGAGATGCTGAAGATCGTGGAGGATAATAGAACGGTGCGTTGATACGCGCTCACTAATAGAGAATACAATCGTGTTGAATTGAGCTTAAACAATTGTTGCAGAAACTGGACGACGTAATGGCGATGAAGGACAAGAAAGAGGAGTACGACGAGATGGTGGTGAAAGTGGTTAGTATTCAAACAGAATCCTGAGTAAGCGACGATCGATTAATCGAAGGATCTCCTCGACATTTTGTAGAAAGAAACGCAAAAGTTGACGTCTGAAGAGATAGATAACCAAGTAATTTAAAGTTCGTAACTTAAATCGAGGACTAAAGATTTTGGCCACTTTTCTAATATTCCAAAAGTTAAAAAAAGGGTCACTTTGTCAATATTAGAGAAACTAAAAAAAAGGTCACTTTTGTGATATTCCAGAAACTAAACAAAAAATTGGTCACTTTTCCAATGTTTGAGAAACTAAAATAAAAATTGATCACTTTTCTAATATTCCAAAACCTAAAAAAAAAGGTCAGTTTGTCAATATTCGAGAAACTAAAAAAAAAATCACTTCCAATATTCGAAAAACTAAACAAAAAATTGGTCGCTCTTCCAATATTCTCCAATTATTCCAGTACTCTCTAAACAGTCGCACAAACTAAAAACAGTAAAATTGAAGCACCGCAAAAATCATCGTCGAAAAAAGCAAAGCTAAAAACATCCAAAATCTTTATCTCCAACCGCACAATTTCCCTCGATTGAAAACCAACTGACCGCACTAAAACCCTCAGATGCAGCGGCTGAGCTCAGAACTAATCACCGCGGCGGACAAACTATCGGAGCTAGAACGAATCCTGGAGAAAGTACCGAAAACAGCTATTCCTCCACTCTAACCGCGATTCCCCTACAAAATTCACCGATTCTCATAAAGCCGTAGTTGATTTTCAGTTCGTGTCCAGCGGGAAAACGCGCGAGAATTCTGCGTGCGACGTCTCTGACGGACAAAGGTTCCGCGCGAAGGAGAACCACGAAGGACGGACGAACTCGTTCGAGGATCTCAAGGTGCGTTTCTCAATTAAACCGTGTACACGCGCGACGAGCTGTAATTGTCACGAAAATCCGGGCAGAGAAGCGGTTTACCCTGTTACTACCTTCACAGCCTGTAACAGCCTGGCCGCAAAACAGAGACGAGAACAGATTGTTCGGGAATTCTGTTGGAGAACTATCGCGACCACCGGGACGCGACGTGTAAAGTTATTTCGGTGTCTGCGAACGAAATTGGGGAAAACCATGGGACTCGGTTAGTTAAGACGCATTCACCGGAATAGTCGCGTCTGCCGTGGAAGGGTTAACGTGAACGTAAACTTCACGTCGTTCTTAGGATTAGATTGTATTATTGTTCCGGGGGGGATTATTGGTATGATTATGCGATGGATTGCTCGGGTAATGAGGTCTTGTGGTCCTTAATTGGTAATAATTCGACGCGGATGTGGAATTGATTGTTACGAGTAGCGAGAAATTGGTGGAGATTTGTAGGCTGATTTATGGGATAGTGTGTTACGTTGTTGTATTTAATAATAGAGGAGTTTGATGCAGATCGATGTGATAGAATTCAGATGCGAAGATGTGGAATTATTGTAATGATAATTTCACCGTGGTTGATGTTTATTGGTAGATATTAGGTTGATTGACATTTAGTCTGTACGTGGAATTGATTATTAGGAGTAGCGAGAAACTGGCAGAAATTTGTTGGTTGATTTGTAAGATGCTGTAGTTTGGTGCAGTTCGATGTGATAGAACAGTAATGATAATTTCATGGTGGTTGATCTTTATTGGTATTATTACATTCATTGAATTTTGACCCTCTGTACCACGATTTTTCTTCGTTCATAAGTAGAGAAATAACTGTTTAGTACAATTTTACATTTTGATGGAAGAAGAAATAATAATTATTGTAAAAAGAAATTAATAGAAACAGAAAGAATTCGTAATTATCAAAATATTGCCTGGTAATAGTGTAATAGTATAGCAAAATAAAAAAATAAAACGAGATTTATAAAATATTGATAAAAAAAATACGCAACTACCAAGTCACATTGTATAATACAGAATTAATTATACGTTATGCTTGTTAATAGTCTGACGAATGATCAGAAATTTGGTATTCTAAACGTAGAAATTTTGTTCCTCCTCTTATAGATAAAATTAGTATTTTTCTCATATTGTGCAGATACAATAAATTTTGAAGATGATGGAATTGTCAAGTTTCCTACTACAGACGAAGAAATTTTGATTCCTCCTCCTGTAGATAAAATATATTTTTCTTATGTTGTACAGCTACAAAAAATTTTGAAGATTATGGAATTGTCAAGTTTCCTACTATAAACGAAAAGATTTGTATTCCTCCTATTGTAGGTAGAATTAGTATTTTTTTCATGTCGTACAGGTACAAAAAACTTTGAAGATAATGGAATTGTCAAGTCTCCTACTATAGACGAAAAAATTTGTATTCCTCCTCTTATAGATAAAATTAGTATTTTTCTTATATTGTACAGATACAACAAATTTTGACAATGATGGAATTGCCAAGTTTCCTACTATAAACGAAAAGATTTGTATTCCTCCTATTGTAGGTAGAATTAGTATTTTTTTCATGTCGTACAGGTACAAAAAACTTTGAAGATAATGGAATTGTCAAGTCTCCTACTATAGACGAAAAAATTTGTATTCCTCCTCTTATAGATAAAATTAGTATTTTTCTTATATTGTACAGATACAACAAATTTTTCAGATGATGGAATTGTCAAGTTTCCTACTACAGACGAAGAAATTTTGATTCCTCCTCCTGTAGATAAAATATATATTTTCTTATGTTCTACAGATTCAAAAAATTTTGAAGATGATGGAATTGTCAAGTCTCCTACTATAGACGAAAAAATTTTGATTCCTCCTCTTATAGATAAAATTAATATTTTTCTTATATTGTACAGATACAACAAATTTTGACAATGATGGAATTGTCAAGTTTCCTACTACAGACGAAGAAATTTTGATTCCTCCTCCTGTAGATAAAATATATATTTTCTTATGTTCTACAGATTCAAAAAATTTTGAAGATGATGGAATTGTCAAGTCTCCTACTATAGACGAAAAAATTTTGATTCCTCCTCTTATAGATAAAATTAATATTTTTCTTATATTGTACAGATACAACAAATTTTGACAATGATGGAATTGTCAAGTTTCCTACTACAGACGAAGAAATTTTGATTCCTCCTCCTGTAGATAAAATATATATTTTCTTATGTTCTACAGATTCAAAAAATTTTGAAGATGATGGAATTGTCAAGTCTCCTACTGTAGACTTACTTATCCTGTAGATAAAATATATATATATATATTCTCACGTCGTACAGACAAAAAAAAAAAAATTGTAAAGGGGGTGGAATTATCAGAGGTTCAGTTCGAAGTTCACTCTAAAAAGAAAACTAATTTTGCATCACGTGAAAGATACTCGAGCCGTCCTTCCCGCCGCCTCAACCACCGGAGCCTCCACCCAGGAAGTATGGGATCTTTGTCAGTCGACCTCCTGGCCAACGTCGTCCATCTCCCGCGGCTGCAGCTGCATCCCCAAAAATCGGATTCAAGTAACTACGCCTCCGTGGAAGCTTCCTCAGAATCCGCGGTTCATCGTCGTAAGTACCTATTTCTCTTTTTCACTATTCCGTGATCTTTTTCTTTCACAAAACGTACCTAATTCTCTCCGAACAAGAAACGACGTTTTAAGTGCTCAGTTTTTTGAAGATTAGATTTTCCATAGGCAGCATTCTCCTGAATTCGCCTCTCCGAGCATTTATTACCCTAAACGTCGGTTAGGTTAGCGCGAATTAGCAGGTGCGCCGTGAAAAAGGAGAGTAACTTACCTCCGACCCGCTTTCTCTTTTCCCTGCAAGCAATACGGGTGGCTGAAATATTTTGTTAGACACGCAAACGTGATTGTTTCAACTTTCTCAAACAGATTACAGCTTGTAGAGGCAATTGCTATAGAGAATAAAGGCGGGGTAATTTTCTTGGCTCGGTGAAACACGATTTTTGAGAGATTTTACAGCGGTGAAGTGATTTCTATGGTGATTGAAGGAACGAGAGATGTCATCTGGAGCGGCGGAGATCGTCGACACAACGAGAGAAACAGGAAAAGATGTGAAAAATTCGCGAAGAGTACGATGCGTTTCAACGCTAGGAAGATGCAGAATGAAAGGATGATGAGTTTGACGCCGTTTACTAGATCGTTGCTGGGCCTCGTTACCATTTTCACCAAGGAGAAGAATTAAATTTGTAACAGAAAAATTGTCTTTGTATACTTGTTGCTTTTTTGTATAATAAATCAAATGGTAGTTTTTAATTAGTCGTTGTTAGACTGCGAATTTTTATGCGTCTGTAGGAAATTTAAAGGTACAAAATTGTACAGAATGAAAAAACAAATCAAAGATTATAGAACTTTTTATAATAGCTAGTAGATGAAACAATTTTCTACCGAAATTTAACTTTTTATACTGTATTCTCAAAAATATAAATATGGATATTACCACATTATAGTGCTTCCTGTAATACCTGGTAGGTGAAATAATTTTCTACCTAAATTCTACTTATTTTACTATATTCCCAGTAATATAAATTTGGATATTACCAAATTATAGTGCTTCCTGTAATACCTGGTAGGTGAAACAATTTTCTACCGAAACTTAACTTTTTCTACTATATTCTCAAAAATATAAATTTGATAATATCGCAATTATAGTACTTTTTATAATATCTGCTGGGGGAAATAAATTTCTACCGAAATTCTGCTTTTTTTTCTACTATATTCCCAAAAATATAAATTTGCTAATATCGAAATTATAGTGCTTTTTATAATACTTTGTAGATGAGATTAGCATAGAGGAGGTGTTGAGTGGAAGAAAAGATGAGAAGGCAGAAAAGTGGTTGAGGACGATAAAGACAAATAGCGAGAAAAAAACAGGCAATAGAAAAGAACAAAACCAAAGATTAAGGCTGAAATTAAATTAAATTAAATTAGTTAAATTAGTTAAAAGAAAGAAGAATGAATGAATGAGTGAACGGAATGAGCAGGAAGAATGAACGAAGTAAGAGAAGTAAATGTAAACCAAGTCCACATTTCTTGGCTGTGAAGCCGAAAATAAAGATTTATATATATATAATACTTTGTAGATGAAACAATTTCCCACCGAAATTCTACTTTCTTCACTATACTCTCAAAAATATAAATTTGCAGTCCACTCATTATCCTTATCTTGACATTAAATCTGGTATTCAAAAAGTGAGCACTGACAAATTGCACAGTGTTTCAATCTTTTAATTCACAAATTTTCAAGTCAACTGAACGGAATATCCACCACTATAGCCAGAGAAGATAATTAGGTGTCCTGTTTCAAATGGCTCACCCTGTATAATGCAAATTGAAGTTCATCGACCATTCGCAGTAAGCAACAGTTACCTACGAACAATTTTATAACGATGTTTAACAAATTTTGTTTATCGTCTAGTTTCGATCGATCACGCCTAATCTTGATCAGTCGCATCCGGTGTAGTAAGCAAACATTACGCACACCGTTAAGCTGTTATAAATGTGCGATAACACGAAGCGTGTTATAATCTCCGGGAAAGTATATTTGCATGCACACGACGTTGTCGATGTCGTTAATTAACACGAGCGGAACGTGGCCTTATTTTTCTCTCCTCTCGTCTTAGGATGCATTTACACTTCTGTGCTCGTGAATCGCGCATCGTACTGAAATGCAACGTGCGATAGATTGTGATATAAGGAGAAAGAGCTTCGTCAAATAAACCGAATTTCTAATGCAAATATTCTGAATTATGTAATTATTTATTATACTACCTTTATTAATAGAGAATTTATTGAACAGAGTTGTCAGATAGTACTCTAACTCGGAGTAGGGTGGGCGTAAAATTAACTAAACGTTTCTACGTTCTCGCAACAGCGTATTTTACACGAAGACTATTTCCGCGTTGTCTGAGCGTCGTTCGCAAAAAGTACGCGTTCAACGGTCTCGTGAAGAGAGTGGACGCGTCGTCCTGCCGATCCCTGTCCACCCCTACGCGAGCAGGCCCAGGGAAAGGCCCAAAGGGGCGGAGTCACCCCCACTGAGCGCGCTGGGCCTGGCTTCGAGGTGCTCGCTTCACCGTCTTCGGGACGGATTTTCTCACAGAGTGCAACACAGTGATCCATGGAAGCGTGATTGAAATTTATTTTAATCATACTCGTGTGATAAACAAACACGCCACGCACGATCGTCTTCCATTCGTTCTTCCTTTCCAGGTCGTTCTCAATTACGCTATCTATTTCTCCGTCTCTCTTTACAGTCATTCTTTCATACTAACAATTCTTGAAAGTATGATTCTCATGGGAGTTTATGGAGAATTTTATTAGAATTTTGATCAATCACCGTGAAAATTTCCTTAGCATTTCTTCGCATCTTTTTTTACCGTATTTAAAGGAATCCTTTTCCTACATTCTGAAAAGTCCCAAAAAGGTACTTAAAAGTCGACTTTGAGGACGATTTTCACCTCTTCAACGTGAACGATTGTCGATAAAAAAAGAAATACGTGCCCAATATTTTTTTGAAATCTATCGCACATCAAAATTTCATCATCACTTCGAGACTCTCCCTTTGGAACAAGTTTCAGAATTTGAAGTTACGAAGATTGCACCCAATTTAATCTCTGATCTAACATTTACTCCGTTATCTCTCGAAAACGCATACTCGTCGAACCCCAATTTTCCACGTACGATCGATCAAATAAATAACAAGCCCACTCGACGTTAATTCACAATTCAACCGAGTATTTACGCTTATCTGAACATTTCCATAAATAATCCTACGGTTGCATCGAAAGGCGTTAGCGAAGAGAAGCGTTCGCTAATATTATGCAATCATGAATTATTGATCCTTCCGTTCTTTATTACGTTACCATCGCGATTACAAAACGCGCATCGACGTTCGAGTAACGGTGTCACGCGGACACACAGTGGAAACACGAACGCAGTGACACCGTAGCAAAGCGAAATTAAAAGCAGAAACCTCGACTCGATGCACATCGCGACAGAGGAAGGGGGCGAGGCTCTCAAGGCGAACAAGTAATTGAACGGCCGATTAACAGGACCGAAAAGAATTTATGAAAGCGAAGCAGACTCACATGTGTATGGGTTTCGAAGAGCAACTCTGGTCTGATTTAAACGCGTTTGTATCACTGTCCTTGAGGAAACTGGTTGCAGGGAAAAATTCCCTTTGTTCGGTGCACACGAGTAGCACGGTGAAATCAGGATTTCAAGTTATCACGGG